ACAAACACAAAAGACCTAGACACCAACTTTTTGACCCTGGGTGACCACCCCAACGACCCCCCCCCCTGCCCGCTAACCTTTTCTGTTTCAGAGACAGCCAGGATCAAGAAACGAAGACAACGACACACACACACACATACACACCCCCCATACCCTCCTTACCCCTCCCCTCCCGCGCTAGCCTAAGGGCCACCTTAGCAAAGCGCATCCCAGGCTGCATAGCCGCACTACCCTACCCAATCATACCACACATAAACATGACACTACCCCCGGGGTTTACACAGACGAGCCGGCGAAGCAAGAAGAGCGCCAGAAGAAAGGGCCCTAGCCGGCGGGGCCCAGCCAGGACAAAAGGAGGTCCCACAAAGCGCCTACACCGGCCGCATTTGCGGTCGGGGTAGACGACGGATGGGGCCCACCTACGAAGGCTGTCCGGGCCTACACGAGATGAGGCAGGATAAAGAGGGATAATCCCCCTCGATCCCAAATCATTGAGGCCAATTTCTAGCCATGGAATAATGGCGCGCGTGGCGCATTAAGAGACCGTGTGCGTTTTTCGGCTGTTTTGCGCTGGTCGCGTCCGGTTTTTACCCGAGCTCGACAAAAAAAAAAAACACAATATTTTTATTTTGTTTCTGCACCGCACGCCGCGATATTTAAATCGACGTGGTCGTGGAGCCGATTTAAAATTAACCAGACAGTCGATGATAAAACAGGAAACAAAGCGTACGAACGTAGCTGTATCGTATACTGCCATGTAAACAATAGGTACGACCGAGGATACCTACGACCAGTTATGTCAATGGCTGTTCAAGAATGTCCCCAGCGAGGGATGACAAAAATTCCCACTTTTCTTCTCGCGTTAATTTTTTTTTTGAACAAGAAAAATGTGTACACCAAAATTAGACAACTACGAAAATTATAAACAACTGCAAAATTTCGTTTCAAATCAAACAGTTACTTATAAACATTTGCAAGATTGCGCAAAATTATCATTTGCTTTTAACAAGCTCTAAGACATTTCCCAACAACATAAATTCTGAAAAGATCTACAAATACCGTTATTTGAAGTAGGAACGAATATTAGTATCTCATTTTTGTCACTTTTACCCAACCTTTCCAAACTTGAGGGGGGTAATGGGTAAGTAGTCGAGAATATTGGTATGGTGTGACGTCAGCAAGGAACTACAGACTCGTCGCCAATATTTACTTTAGATTATACAGTATGTTATATAATGAATGCGCCATATTGGGAGGTTCCTGAACAAAATGGATCGATCTGACCCAAATTACTTTGATGCAAAAATTAACAATAACAAGGATACAGGAGCCAAAGATGTTAATATGTTTTGGCATATACAGGCTGTTACAAACTCGCAAACGGTAAGAGGTACGAAGTAGCTTAAATGGGGGCAAAGTTGCATAATCAGGGGACCAAAATTATGCCTCTAAAAAATCAAGGCTAACATGATTAGTTTTCGAAAAATTTCAAATTTTTCATTTCAGCCTTGTTTGAGGTGATATTGAAAAAAGAAGAACACTTTCTCATGGCCACTTTTTGCCCTCTATCGAATGGCATAAATGAATGTAACACTACTAATGAATGTATTTTTTTATTTCCTGTCGATCTAAGGTGAAATGAAAACTCGAAGACACGTTATAACGAAGCAATGATTTTTTTTTATGAAATTCACCCCATTTCATCCCCCCGTACGGGCTGACAAATGAATGCGACATTGTTAACTAGTGTAATTTTTTATTTCCTGTCGATCTATGGTGAAATACTCGAAGACACGCTATAACGAAGCAATTAATTTTTTTTATGAAATTTACCCCATTTCATCCCCCCCGTACGGGCTGACAAATGAATGTGATACTATTAACTAGTGTAATTTTTTATTTCCTGTCGATCTATGGTGAAATGAAAACTCGAAGACACGTTATAACGAAGCAATTAATTTTTTTATGAAATTCACCCCATTTCATCCCTCCAAACAGGCTGACAAATGAATGTGACACTGTTACTTAATGTAATTTTTTATTTCCTGTCGATCTATGGTGAAATGAAAACTCGAAGACAGGTTATACCGAAGCAAATAATTTTTTTTATGAAATTCACCCCATTTCATCTCCCCGTACGGGCTGACAAATCAATGTGACACTGTTCATTAATGTAATTTTTATTTCCTGTCGATCTATGGTGAATTGAAAACTCGAAGGCACGTAATAACAAAACAAGAAAGTCTTTTATGAAATTCTCATTTCATCCCCCGTACGGGATGACGAATGGATCTGTAATCGTTACTCATTATAATTACTCATTCGCTATCGATCTATGCTAAATTAAAAACAGTCGAAGACACATTATAAAGGAGCAATATTTTTTTTTACAAAATTTTTGAGGCGACGACTTTATCGATTCTAGTCATACTAGAAAATGTGGATGTGGATAACTTCACACCCGTATCCCAACAGATGTCAACTGGATAGAAATATATTAGTTTGCAAAAAACTATAGCAGTTAATAATAAATATTGCTTTTATGAAGGAAAAATAAGATTTAAAATTCAAAAGTTGGGTAAAACTGAAGTAAACAGTGACATAAAATGTTGCGAATTTATATAACTGTCTATAAATAAGTTCGATTTGCCTCGGTTTTCAAGAACACCCCATATAACGTCCAACATCATCAAAAACTCCTAGTTGATAGCTACTACTTTTTTTTCTAAATTTAAAAATAAAAAATTAAGTGTGGCTGACGTTTAGAACCAATAAATTCATTTTGTTTTCTACTAAAATTATTAGGTATACGATTTTTTATTAAATCGGTCGTAGATAAAGTATATCTAATAAACAACCTGCTATAATCTTTGGTCCTAATAACATTATAATACCTGTAATATAATGCTATTAATATACTAGTTATTAATATAGACTATAGAGGATATAAATAAATGTGAAAAAATTAAGGTGATCTTTCGTTGAAAAGTAACATCACGTTCAAATAGTTATTGAGTATTGTTTTTCCGTCGCCAATACAATTATTTAAAAATCTGAGTTTGATTTATTTGTAACAATTTTATTCCTTTTAATTTTTTCGCAAATATAATTTTTGGGTAAAAAAAAATAAATTATCCACACATCCTGAGCTGAATATGGCTATTAAAATAATATTGCATTAGGCTGTTGTCAGATAAATGACAAATAATTCTTTTAACATCTGAACAAAATTACATATTTGTAAGCAATTACAAAAAGTGCAAACACAACATTACATAATTGGAAAAATTACAGGCAGGATTGCAAAAATTGCATGCACAATTGTTGACAAACGCAAAAATTGCAGACAATTATATAATTTACAAACATCTACCAAAACTATTGAGATTCAACTCCTGGTTTTTGTTTTAAAAAAATAGTAAACAATCAGTCTAATATTTAGATTGATAGGACATTTCCAACATTTTATACAAAGGATTTTACAGAATAAATAATATATTTGCTAGAATTAAATATTAAAATAAAAAGGTAGGTAGGTACCTTTAACTTCTGGAATTACTTATGGTACCAAAAAAGATGAAAAATTGCATATTTTTTTCTGTAAACTAAGTACATAAGTTTTATAAAAAGTACACGGAATTTTAAAATAACCTATTCTTAAAAAATTATTTACTTCAAGAATTGTATAATGTATTTCCAAAAAAAAAAAAATAAGGAACCAAACAAACGAAAACTGTTATTTTGAGCCAAGGAATCTCTGGTGAAATGTTGTATTTCCGGACACCATCCATAATATGTTTCAGTTTTTTTTTACTTTCTCGTTTTAAGTTTATAAACAAAGGTTCCATTTAAATTAAATTATTGATAAGAAGGTTCATGGACGTTGTCAGTTTAGTGTTTTAATTAAGAGAATGATAAATCCGGCATCATTTTCATTTCTAGACAAAAATAAAAATTTCTGCTTAAGGCTGGAGTTCTATAGACAAAAAAATTGCACTTTTATTAACACTATGATAAAAGTAGTCCATCCAGGAAGTGACGGAATGTAACGCTATACTAGAGCAACTTCCTTTAATTTTTCGCATTGAAAGATAACGGAGAACAAACGTCAGAAAATGTACATTTTCCTGTTTTGTCCAGCAAAGTAAAGATAACAAGCGTGCAAAATTCAGGAAACGTAACATAAACATAAAAGGTAGAAATATGTTTTCTTTCCTTATTTTGAATGCATTTTCAGTTGTCTTATACCCTAAAAAAAACTTATATAACTGATATAGTGAAGAGATACATTAACTTTTTAGGACTAAGATTAAGGTTAAGTTACGGCTAAGTTAGGACTAATCACAGGGACTAATACTTTTTTATAAACGAACCATTATACTACTTAATTATATTAACTGCATAGACAGTATATTTTAAATAAAAATAATAAACAAAAAATTGTGACTGTATAACTTCTTTGTTTCAATTTTTTTATATGCATTTACTTAATTTCGGGCATGTTTTCCCCACAACATGGGAAATTTCCCACGATTTGGCATCGCTGTGTCCGACGCTGTCGAAAATGTTGGATATTATTCCACTGGCACAGACCACGTGCTAAACTATTAAACGAAACGGAAAAGTATGTTGTCATGCTGCTAGACATCGCATCAATACTAGTTTCGTTGTTTGGTATTTACTATAAAGGCGATGAAATCCGACACTTATGCGAGCCGGACATAGAGGTGACAATCGATAGGAAGTAGCCTGACGTCACTGGCTCAATAAATACTTCACATGGATTTCCAAAATGACTCGCGATGTTTATTTGTAGCCTCGCCGTCGGCTCCTAGAAAGGGGTATTGATTTTCCAAGGGCCGGACACAAGGAAACGGCCCGAAAGAGCGACACGTGATCTGCACCATGTGTAAATTTTAACCTCTCAAGGCCTCCTGGGATAAACACGCCGCAATAATGAGAACAGCACACTTTGTTTACATAACATTAGCTAAACTTACGTCTTGGGCAGCCTGATCGAGGGGGCTCCTTTGCGCTGGAACACGCCGTCCACGAAGACGCCGTTCTTGCCATTGCACAGCATGTAGAAATAGGGGTGCTCGAAGAACACTTCCAAGTGCCTCCTCGATATGAAGCTGGAGTGTCCCATATTCACGTCCACATCGCCGCGGGAACTGTTCCTGCCGATGATGATCCTATTCTGCTTGACGAGGTACTCGAAGTCGCGGCCCTCGATGCGGGCTATAGGGTCCCCCTTGTTGTCAGGGCTCCACTGCATCCTAGCGGGGCTCGCGGGCTGCGACTTCAGCGAGAGAAGGGCCCAGGCATCGCTCTCCGTCGTCATCGGGAATGAGGACATAACCAGATCACACACTCACGGCACTTTTTTTTCAATCACGCACTACCGAAAGGTCCACTGTTTACTTACAAATCGCTGTATAAACGTGGGACTCGTGGGAGTCACCTGTGCTGCTGCTATGTGTCTCTCGAGTTGATTTCATAACATCTCGGTCGGTAGAAATGTTGGTAAACACGTGAGACTGTCGCAAAAACAGACATCGTGAGCGAGGTCCATCTGTCATCCGGTAACCGACACTCAAGACGCTTGGTGTCAATCCGCGGAAGTAGATTCCGTTAGCGTTTCCGGTCATCTACGCCATCTATTGAAATTACATCGCAGTTGTATTAAATTAGGCAGAGCCGGATTTCGGCAAATCTTTTAAAATTGAATAGAGAATTTAGTGCAAACATTTTCGGATTTTTATAAAAAATTGAGAATACCTTTAAAAACCTCTATTTCCATTTAAGACAAAAGTATCTATTAGAAATAAAAAGCTTGTATAGAACGCGCGAGTACAATTCGTCTTCATCAAAACAGTATTTTAGTAAAAAATCGCTATCAAAATATCGTTTCATTAATCAGGGTAGAATCTTTGAAAAATATCCTAATACGTCACTGCATGATGCAGGGGCTAATCACTCTCCATATCTCATAACCTCAAACCGCAAAATCCAAGCGAAAGAAAGGATAAATATTAAATAAGGTAATTAGGTGACTAACTGACAATTCCGTTCACATCGAGATAAAAGAAGTAGGATATAAACTGGTAGATTAAATAGCTCTACCATTTATCCTTATCTTATCTTTCTCTTGTAAATAACTCTACTTTTTGTTTATGTGATATTAAAGTTTAATTACATTTTTGCACATTAATGGAATATTCGATGAGATGGATAAGTGGGTAAATTTTGTTACATATTTAATTCACTGAATTTGTTCTTCCAGGAAACCGGTGTATTATCAACGGACACCGTTATGGACGGCATCATTTGGAGTCGATGAAACTCAAAGGGCCCCATCTGTGGGTGGTTTGAGGGCAGCTTTTAATCAGCGCAACAACATCCCGATGGATAATGTTCAGCCCAAAAACGTTGAGGATGATAACTTGGATAATAATTACTTTGAACATGTGGAACTTGCCCCGATGGGGGAACAAAAAAATGAAAGTGATGTTGTTAGTTACACGAATAGGTTGCACTCGATACATAGAAATCGGTTGAGTAATAATAAGAGAGGTGATTTAGAAAAGTCATTAGATGCAAGAACTGGCGGGGTGAACGGTAGGACGTTGAAATGGCCTAGAGCAACAGGTAGGTCAAATTTTGATGATTTCACTTATTTGTTATCCTTTGGAATTATATGTCAAAATTAATGTCTTCAAAGTTTATGTTATTTTTGACTATGTTTTGAATTATAATTTATTTTTCAATATCAACCAGGGAGTAAAATCCTGGAAACCGAAGAGTTCTAAATCCTAGATTGTTGAACATTTTGTAGATTTCAAATCGTAGAGTTGATCCCAAAAATTTTCCAACGTCTCGAAATAAAATTGTAATTTTCATAATGCAGGATAATATCGTCAAGTGGAAAATGTTTTATATTAATACTATCATCCTTACAATTACGTTACCTATTTTGCTTGATAAATATGAATATTTAATACTTTCAAATCCTTGTGTATAATTCCTAACAAGTATTTAATCAATCAAACTTCCGTAAATCCTCTGAAAAATAATTAATGCAGTGTGTATACTGTATTTTATTATACATCTCCAAAGTTTTTAATAAATAACACAGGGTCGGCTTTCATTTTCGTTGAATAAATGAACTTTAATTTACAAAAAGAAAACGCGAAGATAGAACTTTTTCGTATAAGAGTTTTCTATTACAAATATCATCAGGAAGCTGTAGTTTAATTTTTATAGATTATATGCCACACCCTGTATTAAACTAATAGGGTGGCAGAGAGTGAAAAATAGATTAATTGTGACGTTATTTTAAAGTCTTCATATTTTTTGTCAAAGTGGATAAAGCGCTGAACATTTAAAAAAAATATGTTTTCAGTATGTGGATAGGCATAATTTACTAATTTATTTAAAATAATATTTTTGCTGTTTTATAAATATGTAGTACAAAATAAAAATACCTAAGCACTGATCTGATAGATTTGAAATGTATTTTTAAATCATTTCTGGCTTCTAATGAAAAGTATTTGTTATTATTTTTAAAGCGCTCCATTTGGTTTGTGAATCTAATTTAGGTGAATTATATAATATCAATACACTTGATGTGATATGGCAACAGAGCCCTACACAAGCAAAAAATAAACGACCAAAGTTAATTGGCTGATGATAGTGTGTCTTCATTGTCAAATTTTTCTGTAATAAACTCCGCAAAAAAAATTAAAGGAGCAGAAATATTTCCAAAATTTTTTAGTAATTTTTGAAAGACTGTAACTTTGTGAATAATGGTCGTATCGAGAAAAAAAAAGACACATCTTGAAGCTTTAAAATTCTAGATTTGAAGTCTTGAGATTAAAAATTTTTTTCAGCATCACTCGGCGCAATCAAAAGAAATAATGCAAGGTAAAAATTTTACAATTTTTTTTTCGAAAGTGCACATGGGCTTGGAAGGTTTTTTCTGGCTTGAGCAATGCTACAGTCATTTAGCCTGATTCATCAGCTTCAATTTGTTTTTTTTTGTATTTTCTGTGCGATTATTTCTCATTGAGATATCGGCTGTTGAGTAAAAAGTCACCTTTTTTTATCATCGATATCTCATGAATTGAAAAAATTTTTTTATACTCGGCATTAATTTGAAAAAATGCAAAAAATTACTTTTTCTGCTGTTTTAGATAATCAACGACTACTTTGCAAATATTGCAAAAAGTACCAATGTTTGTAGATTTTTTTTTAGCTCAATACATGCCCATGAGACCTGTAAATTTTGTAATTGATCGGTCAAACCATTTTCCTTTCCTGAATCGTTACTTTTATAAAAAAATTAAAAGAGCAGATTTATTGCTCCTTGAACATCAATTAATGATTAAGATAAAACAAATTTTTTTGGTTACTTTTCTCACAATTTCTCATCAAATATCGAAAAAAAAAATTCAAAATTATAAAGAAAAATTCTGTTTTCACAATAGAATTTGAGAAAACAAATTTATGTGTCTCTAAAGATCAAAAGTATCTTTTGTATAAATATGACCTTATTCAAAATGACATCCTGTAATGCAATACCATAACTTTTACACTATCCAACTCTAATTGAACATTTATCAAAAATACCTTTAACTTTCACAATTGTTGTTTATAAGATAAGAAAAAATGTCCCCCTCAGTTCGACATTTCTGTAGTACAAATTTTTTGTTCTTAATTTTTAACTATCTCGACCAGATAACAAGTGTGTGACTCAGAGCAAAAACAAAAAAGATTTACTGATAATATTAGATAAAACAAATTTTATTAGTAATTTATATAAATCTATAAAGATTCTGACTTATAAATCGACATATTATTGAAATAAATCCGTTTACAATGAGGTATTTTTTTATATCGCTTGGTCATAAGTTAACTTTCTGCCATATCTAAAGATTCTACACATATTGAATGCTAGTTATAACAATATTGAATGCTAGTTATTACACAAATTTTTGAGTTCCATACTGTCTGTATTTTAAATATTTTATTAACCTTATAAAAGTTGAAAACCAAAGTGTATATTGTTGCGAAAAATCTAGGTGATATGGCGGAGTTGATTGAAAATCACGCGGAGCTGATCGTTGCCAAAATGGAGCAGGACGCTTTGTTAATGGAAGACTCCCCCACTTCTGAGGAACTCAGAAGGTAATATAGGTGCAATTTTTTTAGCTTCAGAAATTCATCAAGTTTCATTAGATTCACAATAGAGTATATGAAAAATTATTAACTCTCATACAGAGTGTTAATAATTTACATTTTAAAACATTCGTAATTTAAGGGAGGCGTTGCGGGATATGCCCCAAAGTCTGACCTTGAAAAGGTGCGTGAAAGAGAAGCTGTCGAAATCCGTCAGCCAGAAATCGAAAAGGAAACCCTTGGGATGCTTCAAAATGTTCAAGTATAGGATGAGCATTGGTGTTTCGAAGGTACATATACAGAGTTAAACAAAAGTTGGGAATGTTGAGTGTGAAACAAGAACAGTTAGGTTTTTCGGAAAATGTCAATTGTTTTTGAACATTGACGTCATGAAACTATTAATCATCATTGGCATATCATTACACTTAGATTCTATCGAATTCAGATGAAAGAATTGAGAAAAATAAACAATTGACGTAAAAGTTGACATGCTTCGATATTTTTCGCAAACTTATTTATTTTCAATTTCGACTCGATTTCCCAAACTCTTGTTCCACTCTGTATAAGAAAACGATGTAGTTAAGAGTTCGAGCAACTTGCTTAACTTTGTTTTGTATATAAATTTGATTTTCGTTTATCTTTTAGTTTAAAATAAGCATGAAAAACCTTGCGTACACCTTCGAGCTGTGGTATGGTACAGTGAAGCAGATTGAGGGCAATTTTGGGTCGGGTGTGGCGAATTTCTTCAAATTCTTGAGATGGATATTCATTTTGAACGCGATTATGGCACTCGTATCATTTTCTTTTATCGTCATACCCCAGATAATCTTCACGGTAAGGAACGGTACTCTTTTCGACGGTTTCGACGTAGAAGATATCTTCACCGGAGAGGTAAGTCGTACATGTATTTTTTGTGTATTTTTCAATTGTTTTTGAAGAAAAATCGTGTTATTTTAATTGACACAAGTATATCTTTTATCTTTTATGACACAGTGAATTGATTTATGACGTTTGCCAACGTATTAGAAGATGCTGGTTACTGTTATGTTTTTTTGTTATTTTTTAGGGATACCTGACAAACAGTTTTCTTTATTATGGTTTTTATACAAATCTGACTATTACCGAAGCAACTCTGCCCTATCGCATACCCGATGCTTATTTTTATACCATGGTTTGCCTGTATCTATGTTGTTTTGCAGTTTTAAGTATTAGGTTTGTTTATAATTTTTTTTTTTTTTTTTTTGTTGATTCCAATTTACCCTACTCCATTTATTAAAACATATAACGTGTCGGATTGTATCGATGTTCCTTATCTACGTCTTATTTACTTATTACACAAAGTGACTCGTAAATGAACCGATATAGGTTAGATGTATTCAGGGGATTCCAAAATATGGTGTTTTAACATCTTACATTCATGCCAAGTTGCTTCGTTTGACCGCTACGTGGTGATAAAATCAGCGAACGTTAGATTTTTTCCAGATAATTTTCAAACACCAAACGGAAAAATTTTCAATAATGTATTAAATATTAACTAATATTATTATGTCGATAGGTATGTGTTACTAACTGTAAGTAAAAGTAATGTATATTACAACAATCATTTGAAGTTTTCAATAAAAAGGATTTGTTACTAGTTTTTTGTAGCACCGTGTTTAGTTTGTGAATCTCAATGCCAATGACCTCTGATATTGGTCTAGTTTAGGTGAACCACATACTATCAATACACCTGATGTGATATGACAACAAAGCGCTGTACGAGCAAAAAGCAAACTGCCGATGTTAATTCGGCAAAACGAGAATAGCCGAATATCTCACCCCTTCATTTTATTGCATTTATTTTAGTTTCTGTTTAATCGGTCTAGATGGTGTTTGTAACGTGGAAAGTAATTTCGTGACTTTCGGTGTGAAGTAGGTATTAGTTGTTCGATACAGTGTTTGTGTATCTTCATTGTTAAATTTCTCTTTCATATAAATTAATTTTGTGCGATTTTCTGGAACAACGATGTAACGTAAAATTTGCTTGAAATTGGGGAAAACTTTCATTGAAACGTTTCAGCTTTTGGAACAAGCTTACAGAGATGATACTCTGGGTCGTATGAAAAGTTACGAATGGTTTTTACAATTTAAAAGTGGTCGTCAGCCAATGGGTTCATTCAGTGTGTTTGTGTATCTTCATTGTTAAAGAGTGACCGCAAAATAGACCGCAATTCGCAGAGATTTTAAAAAAATACATAAAAATATGTTTTTGGTCGCAAATTACTTTTCGTAAAAAACTGAAATGAGCATAGCTTTTAGTATTTTGAAATTTTTAAAAATCACCCCTACTTAGGGGTTGAAAAAATGCCAAAAATGAAGAATTCCAATATTACCAGTTGATATAAAAACTGTGCATATGAATTATTCTATTGAATGAATTATCTTAATATATTTTTTTTTGGAATTTTTACAGTTACTTCTATTTTCTATTTTTGGGGATGATTCCACCCCCTGAGTGCGCTTAAGGGTGGATTTTCTAATTCAACACGCTTATTTCAGTCATGGGAATAAATCTTTCTTTGTATCAAGAATTATTCGATAGAAAAATTCACATGCTAATAGTTTTTATATTTATTGGTAATATTCAATTCATTTTGGGCGTTTTTTCAACCCCTAAATAGGAGTGATTTTTGAAAATTTTCAAAAAACTAAAAGCTATGCTCATCTTATTTTTTACGAGGAGTAATTCGAGACCAAAAACATTTTTATCTGTTTTCTTTAGTTCTCTGCGAATTGTGAAAAAACGGGCGATTTTTGCGGACACTCTTTCTGTTACATACAAAAAAATTTTGTGCGATTTTCTGGAACGATGTAACGTAAAATTTTGCTTGAAATTGGGGAAAACTTTCATTGAAACGTTTCAGCTTTTGAAACAAGCTTACGGAGATGATGTTCTGGGTCGTATGAAAAGTTACGAATGGTTTTCACAATTTAAAAGTGGTCGTCAGCCAATGGGCTCATTCAGCAAATTTTTTTTATTTGATTAGTAAAGAGATATTGCAATTTAAAGGTTCTCTGCAAAAAATTGGAATTTTATATCGCCTACAAGTCATCCAAAAAAATCATAAACTGGCAAACTGAGTATACGCTGAACCAGCGGATGTGACGTTACCGCATGGGAAACCATGCCGCATGCTTGCGTGTGTTGTCAGTCAGTCGGGTAGTCGGGTTTTAGTTGCCTGTTAAGTATTGTTCCCCAGTGTAAGGATGGGCTAAACTGTGCTTTTTGCGGAGCAGTGACATCTGCGATTGCTCCGACAAATGAGCAGTGACAATAGCTGCGATTTTTCGGAACAGCTCCTGGTAGCATACGCATATATTCCTATCGTAATATGTTCCTTTATATTACCGTCCCGTATCAATAGCGGCTAGCTCTAGCGATAGGTACCTTCGATTTGTCCTGTTTTTCTAGCATGCTCCAACTATCGTAAATTTAGCTTAATTTGTTTATTTCACATTTAAAATTTCATATGCCGCAGTGGTCCATTACTATATGTATAAATTTTTAATATTTTTTCTAATTTTGTTACAAATATAATAAAATTTGGTGTACATATGTATAGATGTCAGCTTTTGACATAGTAACGGAAGTAGTTACATTAACAGAACTGGGATAAATACTCCTATTTCCAAGCAAATATGCTTATGTCTTTTGGCGGCAATTTAATTTAACATACAGGCTTTATTTCAAGTTTATTTTCTCTTATTTTTCTTTAATCTAACAGTTTTCGCATACTAAATTGTTTTATTAGTTATCGCCAACACATTTATGATATAAATCGGATTTGTCATTGAAAGTTTGATTTATTTGATAATAAAAATGGGATGAAGTTGAGGAATTTGAATGGGAATTATCGCAAACTGTACCAATTCAGTAAAAATAGTTGAAATAGCAAGTCATAGATGATTTTGAATTGTTCTTTGAACATTTTGAGTATTTACTTGAAAATAATATTATTGCAGTCGATGATTTAAATGTGTCTTGAAAACAAATGAATATCGCATAACATTTGAGTGTTTTCTTATTATTTTGACGTTTAGAATGCATTCCTGGAGTTTGGTGCGGTCCTCTGGACTCACCCTGTATATCACTGAATAATAAATTTTGCACCTGATTGTGTATGTATCAGTTGATTCTGAAAATGTTATCTCTATAGACAAAGTTATTTGGAAAAATCAAATTTTCTGCCATCTAGTGACTAAAGAAAACAACTCGCTATGGGGGTTTGTCGCGTTAAGACGTTATATTCCGGAGTCCCCTGCATGTACCTGCTTTATGATTCATTTACCAATTACCCTGTGTATAACATGTCTAATTGTATCAATCTTTGCTATTTACACCTTTTATTTCCTTTGTTCATGTTTTGCCAAACAGCAATGAACGGATTTTATAATTTTAGCGTTGCCCTGGATTACCGACGCAGTTTCATCGAAACCGAAGGCGGCTTAAAGTACGTCTTTGCTCAAAAAATATTCTGCGGCTGGGATTACAACATCGCGACGGACGATGCCGCGCTGCTCAAATCACGGGCTATCTACAACGATCTGAGGGTATGTACAAAAAAAACCTTGGCGTCAAGCATTGTGTTTGGTTTGCAACGTGGAAGAATTTTAGGAGTTGCTGTACGACGTTATGTACGAGTCACACGAGGACCCGTTCATTGTGATATTCTGGACCGGGACTATGCAGGTGATGATGAATATTTTGGTGGTGCTGTCGCTGGCCGGCAGCGGTTATTTGATGTGGTTCTTAATGGACATGGCGATGAAGGAACATTGGTCCTCGATGTATTCCGCGATAGTCGTTAATCTTATTATGACGCTGTTGCCTATCGTCTTCAGCTGGGTGATCAAGTAAGTTTAATAGTAATAGTCTTAGCGGTTTCGGAAATCAGTTAACATATTGGACTTTAATTTCTTTCAGCATTAAACTCTGTATGCAAAATTAGTGACTCTAAAAATAGACTTGAAATTCCAATTTTATTTTCTCATAAATGGTTAATCCCATTGCAACTTTTTTTTATTAGACTTCCTCGATTAGGGTGTTGTTATTCAACCGATACCCGCTCTTGACTAGTTTTGTAAAACTCAAGCAGAATCCGACATCAGAATTGCCCCATCACGTCAAGTTTTCGAGATATCTTAAACTAAAAGTGCGAAATCTACGATGCTTTGATATATTTGAGGTTAGATTACGTCACGATGTAATTTTCACCAACAAAACTCGCTATGACATCTAAAGTACTATTCTACTTCAAAATCCATTTTGAATCGTTCGAATATCTTCTTTCCTCTGTGAAAACGTCTGTTCAAATTGATTAGTTTGGCGTATTCGGCGATATTCGGAAATTGAATACAGTCCGTACGATATTTGTTGAGATAGAATTCCAGGAGGACTCCTCGTCACTTTCTTGGCAATTAACCACATTCGACAACCAAGGTAGAAAGACATTGATGGTAAATTGTTACAGTAGTTCTGACAACAGAACTTTATTGGCTTATTCTTTTCTTGGAATTATCGTACAGACTGTAGCATCTGATAAAGACTCAAGAAAAAGACAATCAAATTACAAACATTTCTTGTTGGTTCTTCAGATTTCCTCATTTTTCTTTCTTCACTCCATCCATTATACTGGATTCGCCATTTTGAAATTTTGTAAATCTTATCAGTGATCACTGCTTTGTGATTCTCATTTCTCGATTCATAACACCAAAAACCTGAAGAACCAGTGGAAATTTAGATGTTTGTAATTTAATTCTTCTTTTGTTTTGTGTCTTCACCTGATGATACTCAATTTCCAAATAAAGACAAATAAGCCAAACTAACCAATTTCAATAGACAATTTCTCGGAGGCAAAAAAAGATATTCGAACAATTCAATATGGATTTTGAAGAATATATATTTTTTCATATACCGAGCTTTGTTTAGAAAAATTACGTCCATAATGTAACCTAACCTCAAATGTAGCGAAAAAACGTGTTGATTATTCTATTCAAATTTTTTTTTATTTAAAGTTGTTTATTTGCGGAGACACCTGTAATGACAGTCAAGTAGTCTACTGACGAGTGACCAAAACCGTTCAGAATTTGAAATGAACCTTAATTCAAAAAACAAAGTAAACATTGAACTACCATTAAATAGGTTTCATTTTTATTGTTCATATCTACTTATATCAATATTAGTTCAGGATATACACTTTCAAAGTACATATTGTTTTTTTTTTTCTTAACATCGAGAGGTCGAATAATGAATATTTTAAAAAATCAAAAATAAAGAGGAACATCTATCAATACTTCTAATCCTTAGTCAGCAGAATTGCCAGATATAAACCAGTTTCCAACTAACTGATTCTCATTGATATGTCTTAAATGAGATCTCCCAACATGTTTTAAGTGTACGTAAGCTGTAACCTACAAAGTATATGTCACTACTATTCAATGCCTACTGGCATAAATAGTTGCTTCGTGCCTACTGATAAAGTGATCTACTAATGTACAGTAGGCATTGAAAAACAATGACATTTAAGATATGACATATACTTTGCAGGTTATATCTCAACCACATTCTAATAATTACTTTATACTCAATACTGGACTTGATCCATGTTTCTCTGAGCATATTTTCAATGTCGATACTCATTGTTTCACCTAACTATTTTTTTGTTAACTGTTATTACTGTTGTGTTCATAAATTTTTGCAATAAACTGTGCTTTAATGTAAATCTTAATTAATAACAGTGAAGAGACCAATCAAAAAACAAATTTCTAAGTGACGGGGTTACAATGCCCTACACTGAGATGCTTCACTTTCACAGAATACAGCTTATTCTCTTCTGTCTTGCACCCTGTTTGTGTTAAAAACTGATATACCGATGAAAACTTTTATCTTAGCGTCGCACTATGGTACGAAATGCCTAAAAGCTGGCCAAAAATAAAAATTTATTCCAAATTGTACAAAAGTTGGTATATTGGGGTTTTTGGCCCAACTGATTACGAATTTGATATCAAAATTGAAAAATTCAAAATGGCGGATCCAATATGGCGGATTAAATTAAAAAAAAAGGCAAATAAACTGTCAAAAATAGGTGTTTCTGGGTTTTTGACAACACTTGTTATGAATTTCATATTGAAATAGAAAATTTTAAAATGGCGCACGAAATTTGACAAAAGTGGAACAAACTAACGGAAGTAGATATTGGAGTTTTTGACCGCACTGATTATGCGAACATTTAATTCATTGTAAAGCAGACAAATTACATTTCGTCATTTGATCATGTTATTCTGTTGAATATTGTTGAAAGTCACGGGCTCAGAGTTAAAGCTTTCTTTCTTTAATATTATTTGTTACTTAAATTTTAATGCGCATAAATGAATACTTGAGTGTTTTGAGTTTGGAATTTAGCAGATCTGATCAGGTCAAACGGACCTCGGATTCGGATTAAGCGACCCCAAAAACGTATAAATACATTGGTTTACTTTGTTAACCTTGAATTGACCTTAACTCCACTTCATCGGATCAAACGGACACAGAATTCGGATTTACCGTCCCGAAAAACGTATAGATATGGAGTTTTACTTTGTTGGCAAATGATTCTCTACATTTGATCTTGAACTGACTTTAACGCAGACCTGATTGGATCAAACAGACACCAGTTTCGGATTCAACGGCCCCAAAAACATATAGATACCAGGGTCTTGTCTTTCAAATATTCCACTTTTTTTTTGTGGGGCTGTGAATTGACAAAATCGCATCGACTATCCTTTTCTATGTCATATTCGAGATCAATTCTGTAAGTAATGATATTGTGAGTTGCAACTACTCTGTGGACTACAAACCGCCATCCAGCGACACTAGTCATGCTTTTATAGTTTAAATTAGTAGGTCTCTCTGCCAGTAGGCAGTGCTTTGCGCCGGTAGGCCTTGAGTAACTATGACATATACTTTGTAGGTTATATCTCACTCGCATTAATTTTTTTAGTTACGAAGGCTACAAAACCCCAAAAACAAAACTGTTTCTCACTCTCGTCAGGACGTTTGTCTTGGGATTTGTCATAATCGGAGTCCTAGTTACGTTTTGGTTAAAAAATCCAGACGGAGTAAGTTTGAAAATTATTTCTCAATAGTATTTTTTGAGTTGTGATATGTTTTTAGGAATGTTGGGAAACATCATTAGGCCAAGAGACCTACAGACTGATTCTATTCGATTTCATATTCTCCATAATAGTTTTACCTCTAATCGATCTAGTTTCGTATTGCTTTTGCAGGTAAATATTCGTTTCGGACTGCCGACTAGCAAACTAAACCGAACGTTTAATAATTTTAGGTTAATGGGAGAGGGTCAGCTACATTTCGACATTGCGCGCCACACCATGCAAATCATCTACAACCAGACCCTATTCTGGGTCGGATTTTTCTTTTCGCCGTTCCTCGCTGTTATAATAGTGGTTAAACTCCTAATAATGTGGTACGTGAGAAAAACCATTGTACTGAAATTCTGCAGGCCCTCTTCGAAGACCTGGAGAGCGGCACAAACCACCACGTGGTTCTTAATGATGTCGTTCCTCAGTTTGTTGCTGGTAATGGGCCTTTTAGGGTACATCATAACATCGTAAGTGAAAGGAAATTGAATTTTTTACCGTTACGACAAAATTTTTGCTTTTGGTTTTAGGACGCCTACTACCAACTGCGGTCCGTTTAGAGACTACGATTATGTCTATGAAATCGTCACGTTCGGACTCTTACAATTGAGGGAACACAGCAAGGTTTTGAACATACTCCTCTTTGTCACCAAGCCAGGTTTTATCGCATTAGTTTTGATAGCGTTATGGTTAGCTTTGAATCCCTTCGTACCATTAAGTACTTAAAAAATTTGTTTTCTAGTGGAAGAGTGTATTACATCAGAGCAAAAGCACAAGCGCAGCGTGGTATCGTCGCAATTTATAGAGAGATGCTGGTGTGGGAGGCGCGAGATAAAGAGTTTTTGCTGCAGAAAATAGCTTTAGTCACAAAAGGCGGTAAGTGTCCAGTCCTATTGTCTTAATATGGGTGTAACTTTAAGTGATAGTCAGTTTGTTAGTGGTAATTTGTAATTTTTTTTTTTTTTGAAGCACTGTGTTTAGTTCGTGAATGTCTGACATAGACCTAGTTTAGGGGAACTACATAATACCGATACACCTGATGTGATATGACAACAGAGTGCTGAGGGGGGGCAAAAAAGAAACGGTCGATGTTAATATGGCAAGATGAGAATGGCCGAATAAGCCACCGCTTCATTTTATAACGTTTAGTTTTGAGTCTGTTGGTTTACATGAATGTTTTGTAATATAATGTTTAATCGTGTGACTTTCTGATGGATTTGAACTGATAAAAACGTAATGTGGGTAATGAATATCCTTTCTTTAGAATGGAAGTACAAGCTTCAGGAAGGCCGCGAGCACAATCCTATCACTTCCCAAAAGGGCGCACCGAGGTTAAAGGGATTACAAGGCGATTTCATACGAGGTAAAACGAAATCAGTACGTTTCTAATCGTAAACTTATAAATTATTTTTTCAGAGCCATCCAGATCTTCACTCACTTCATGTAAGTACCAGTATCCCAATCAAATTGTCGAAAATACCTAATTTTTTTGCTAAAAAATAGTTCAATCATTGAAAATGTGTAAAAATTAGGAAAAGTTCCGCAGAATTCAATTACCCCACTTGAATTTTTGGGCTTCATTTTCAAAATGGCGTCCAAAGTTCTCAAAAACAGTTTTTTTCATTTATAAAAAAAATTTAACATTTTAGAAAAAATTGTTGAGACAAAAGTTGTAGGAATTTTTAATACGGATCGAATAAGCCCAAACCAGTTTTGATCGATAAATAAATTAATTAGTTATTGCAAAAAAAAAACTTCTAAAAATCGTAATGTTTTCAAATAGCTCTCTTTCAAAAATATTTTTTTATAAAACTTGGTGAAAGAAAAATAAACTGATTTTTTCAAAATTGAAAAATATGTTTAGTTTTTGCAAAAATCGAGTTTAAAAAAAAAAGTGTTTTTGTAAAGTCGCCATAATTTATAGGCCGCCACATCTTTAGGAACGGGGTTGGGCTTAAAATTTTCTTTAATAATTACTATATTATGTACAAATATTGCGCGAGCCTCAAATCCTTTTCAAATGTCGCAAAAATGATCGAAAAATTTTTTTTTTTTCGGTGCCACAAAACTTTGATTAACTTTTTGATTTCAATTCGTATCAAAATGTCGATACTGACATTCGAAAGTTGACATTTTTCACGAATTAAAAAAAAAGTCTGTCTTACGAAGAACAGGGGCCGAGATTTTTTTTTTCGAAAAATCGCCACGACCTCATTTATTAATATTAAGGGCTGAACTTTACACATGTTATAGTTGAATACTTGTACTTCATTATAAAAAATAATCCATAACAATTGGTCCCATTTTCTTTCATTAAACATCATTTTTATGGGCCTCGTATATTGCTTGCTCGGCTCAATACGTTGATGCTACGTAACGAACTACGTGTATTTTTTCTTTTCATGTACATTTATAAAGCTTTTTTATCAGTTATGAATTTGTATTTACATAATGGTAGATGTCTTATTGACATAATAAAATAATAAAAGTAATGTCGGTTAGTGTAAGGCGGTAATAAAAAGGCGGAAAGTAGAAAAATTCTTGATTTATTAAACATGTAGATCCGAAAATGGTGATTGCAAAACTAATGTGTGTAGTTGCCGAAAACATGAATTAAAATGTTCTAATTTATGTTTGACGCGCGAAGATTACAATTCCTCTAATATCGAGGAAAAAACTATAGTTATTGAAGATATCGAGGAAGATATGGACGAGCCATGTTTATCAGAAAATGAAATCGAATCAGACGAAGAAAACATTGACGATGATGATGGTGATGTACAAGAAATCGTGAAACAGTAGCGAAGAAAAATGGAGGCCTAAGAAACGTTCAAAAATAAATTAATATATTTTTCATACAGTCAAATAAATAACTGATTGTATACTAGTTTTTATACTTTTATTTACATGTTTAATAAATCAAGAATTTTTCTACTTTATGGCCCCGACAAAAAAAAACAATTTTTTGATTGTTCTTTGCGATATTTGAAAACGATTTGAGGCTCGCGCAATGTTTGCACAAATTGTGTAATTATTAAAGAAAATTTTAAGCCCAATCCCGTTCCTAAAGATGTGGCGGCCTATGAATTATGGGGATTTTACAAAAACGTTTTTTTTTCGAAAAACTATTTTTGCAAAAACTATAAAATAATTTTCAATTTTGAAAAAATCATTTTATTTTGCTCGCCAAGAGCTATCCTTTCACCGAGTTTCATAAAAAAATATTTATTTTTGAAAGCGTTACAGCTATTTGAGAAATTTGCGATTTTTAAGGGTTTTTTGCAATAACTAATTAATTTATTTATCGATCAAAACCGGTTTGGGCTTATTCGATCCGTTTTAAAAATTCCTACAACTTTTGTTTGAAACATTTTTTCTAAAATGTTTAGTTTTTTTCAGAAACAAAAAAAACTGTTTTTTGCAAAATTGGACGCCATTTTGAAAATGAAGCACAAAAATTCAGGTGGGGTAAAGTAGTCCATTGAATTCTACTGAATTTTTCGTAATTTTTACATATTTTCAATTACTGAACTATTTTTTGGCACCTGAAAAAGTAATTTGATTGGACTACATGGAGTTAAAGCAAAACGTAACGATTCAATATTTCAATTTTAGCTGCTGCGGGTCCATCTGACGCGGATAACGATTTTTCTAGCTACAAGAAGAATTCGTAGAGAACAAAAACGATTTAGTACTAGTCAGTAAGTCATTTTTTTAAGTTCGTTAGTTCTGTGCCTTCTCATGTCGTGCCAAGTATGAAAGTGCAATATCTTTATCTTTAAATTTGAATTTATTAATATTAATGTACTCTCTAGTCAATAGGTGAAAATATTTAGTGTTATACGAAGTTAGAACAATTATATTTCAAATAAATTTTCTTAAAACTTTGAATGTTTAGAAAAATGAAACGTCCTAATTAAATCACCTGTGACAAAATTAACAACTTGAACTGCTGTTTTTAAACTACGCTTATGTTTTAAGAAAATGGAAGTGCTTTTGTCGACGTGTCATTTTAAAGTCACCATATTTTTGTATACCACCGAACATGAAAAAAGCATTCTATTCTTAAAAAAATAAGATTTAGTTCTCAATTTCAGTGTCAGTGACCTCTGACATTGACCTAGTTCAGCTGAGCTATAATACGTAAAGTAGGTAGTTAAATATTGAAGCGTGTCCCTGCTTGTCATATGCGTGTACAAGTTGCCACAAGCACGCGTACCCCTCATGGAATCGCAATCCCTGCATGCCTTACCCATCCCATAGATCTGCGTATTGATAATTAGTCACCGCCTACTATTTTCACACGAGTATAACAGTCTCTATAATGTCTGTGAAGAGTGTTTTTTATACTTCGCCTCAGATTGTGGGAAAAATCTCTCGCAACTCTGCTCATGGTTAAAGTTTATTATAAAATTATTACAAAATAAAGCACCTGTAAAATTCAAGTAAATCTTAAAAATAGCTCTAGTCGTCGAGCTGGCATAGAGCGGCGACACCCCTGTTGATCCAGTGTTTCTCGGGCAGGTTAGAATCGAACGTCGTGTACATAACAAAGTTGGTCGAGTGGCCGGTTGTCGACAGCACGCCTCGTCTTGCGCTCGTTTTGTATACCGGGCAGGTATAACAGGGCGACGGGTTGTAGTCTGATATCTTCCCTGGTTTCAACCACATTATCGGTACGACATCGAACAGGATTTTCGCGTAAGACTCGTTTAGCATTTTTTTCTTTCTGTCCCATCTGGCACCCTCCAAGAAGAGGCCCTGTGTAAGAAATCAGTTACATGCGATAGAAAAATAATATAATAAGTTTTCAAAGTCTTCAGTTTCTTCGATCTGTACATGTGATATGTATTTACTTACGTCTATAAGAACACTAAATTCCTCGATTTTCCTAATTTGCTGCGTGCGCAAATTGAAATTACAAGTAAAAACAAAAATACCAGAAAGCGTAGATAACACAGGTCAACAAGGGTCAAGAAGCAGACACACTAATATGCATTCCCGAAGGATTTTGGTACGGTGAATCCGAATATGGCCCCAGAATTGCTCTATCACGTCAGGTTTTTGAGATATCCTAACCTAAAAGTGCAAAAAACACTGTTTTCTTCATATTTGAGGTTATATAGTAATGCCATCTATTCTTTAAAAAAAAATACATAATTTAAAAGTACAATAGGCTATTGATTGTCATATGGTATGGAACTACAACGTTGATGGGTTTTTATTGCATGAATTGTTCAAAGGGTTATTTAGAATGAAAAATCCGCGGAGTGCTATTAAATTAGAGGGTGGAAATTGGAGATAGAGGTGAAAATGCAATCCTTACGGTTTTTTGAGTAATTTGAATTTTGTAGATAATGAAATTTCCCATCGAAATAGCTTATTTAAAAAATTTAAAAGGAAAATTTTATGCAAAATAATCGTTAATAAACAATTTGAAAAAAAGCAAAAAAGGAAAAAAAAAAGAAATTTGAGCAAACTCAACGGCATTCGAAGGAGGGAGCCTTGTACTTTTAGATCCAATGTATTAGTTTTTTGAAAAATTATAGTTGGCATTACTACATAACCTCAAATATGTCGAAGAAGAGTGTTTTTTGCACTTTTAGGTTAGGATATTTCAAAAACCTGACATGATAGAGCAATTCTGCTGCCAGATTCGTATTCAGCGCACCTAAATTCTTCGGAAATATATATTCAAGTTTCTGCTTCCAAAAAAAAAATTTAATTTTGTGGGTCTGTGTAATTTTGACTAATTTATACTTTACCTTGCAGTAAACTCCTATGGAGCAACGGTCTTTGGTATCTTGCTCGTAACTCGTCGTGTAGAATTCAAAATGTATCAAATCAATCGGCAGCTTCTGCCTCCTTGAATAATTCTGTAGAACTCCCGTTAAGAACGACTGAGTAAAATAGAAACCGGACAACCAAAAAACGTTCGGAGCCCCATTATCGATCCAGTTTTGGAAAAACTTCAATCTACAAAAACAATTTACGGGTAACAAAAACTTGTAAACTTGTTTACGACTCTTACCTGACTATCAAATCTGCTACGTACGACCCGAGCGGTTTCAAACTGGGATAGCTCTTGCTTGCCCAAGCTGAGGGCACCTTCCCCACCACCAGAGCGCTGCAAGTCTCTTCCAGCTCCGAGGACATCACCACCAGCCCCTTCACCGCTTTGATCATGTCTCTAAGGGTTCGTTTCACCACGGCTACCAATCTGTTGAACCTGATCAACTCCTGAAAGAAAAAAATCACACGTTCATGCCGTATCCTAAACATGAACTCATTTTACCTGTCTCAGAACGGTGTTCATGGAGTTACTGTACATTACGGGGTACTTCTTGCTGACGTCTTCGATATCGAAAACGTTCGGTACCTTTCCCAGTATATCGTTGGCCAGGTCGATTATCATGTCCTGGGTGTCTTCGCCTCCGCCGCCGGACGTTATTTGAGTTTGGGTTTTCAAGACGCCCTCCAAAAGCTACGAATCATTTAAAGCAGAGTGAAACTCCAGTGAAAATTATGTTTTTACTGGAACATACAAGGTGATTCCTAAGTTGAATCGTATTTTTTAACAGCAAACTACTCAAAATAAGACTCTTTTATCAAATTCTATTTTTTAAAATAATGCAGCTAGTCTTCCATAGCTGTTAACAAAAATTGGAAAGAATTTAAACAGGTAAGTCGATTGTCCTCCGATTCAAAACAGACAGTACAGAAACTAGTATTTATGCTGTTTCTGTATTCTCTTGTATGTTTGTTAAGTTTTGTCCATGATTTTTTATTGAATAATTTCAGTTGTAAAGAGAATAAAAAAACTATAAAATGGTCTTTTGTGCGTCCCGATCGGTTCATTTTTTACAGAGAAAATCCGGAAAAACCCCTAAAATAGACATTTTTTCAAAAATGCATCTCCGTCAAAGAATGACCGCAAAATCCGCCTGTTTTTGAGAGTTTGACAGAGGCGACAGGAAAAATCCTGAAAATATTCTAAAAATATCCAAAAACTCGTCATGAAAAATGAAAATGAGTATCACTTTCAGTTTTTCGAAAATGTTCGAAAATCACCTTTATTTAGGTGTTGAAAAGACAAAAAAAAGTGAACAAATTAAAAATCATCAACAGTTGTAAAACCCCAAATATTTTTATGTTGTTATCAAAATAATATTATGAACGTGAAAATATCTAATTTTTTATTTGATACGGTCTTGTCCGTATTGAAAATCAACCCATAATATCCTAAAGGGGTGAAATCATCCCCTAAACGCCTAAAAATGCAAAAAACATATTAAAAGTTAAAATTTTTTTCTTTTTTACACGTGATAATTGAACCGTTAATAACCCACAATCACTAGATCCGAAGGAGAATACCTCTAAATGAGGGTAAAACCACCCCTAAGTTCACATATAAAAGAAAAAGAAAAAAATTGTAACTTTTAATATATTTTTTGCATTTTTACGCGTTTAGGGGATGATTTCACCCCTTTAGGGATATTATGGGTTGATTTGCGGTCCGGACAAGACCGTATTAAATACGAAATTAGATATTTTCACGTTCATAATATTATTTTGATAACAACATAGAAATACATATTTGTTCATTTTTTTTATCCTTTCAACCCCTAAATAAAGGTGATTTTCGAAAATTTTCGAAAAACTGAAATTTATGCTCATTTTCGTTTTTCATGAGGAGTATTTGGATATTTTTAGAATATTTTTAGGATTTTCCCTGTCGCCTCTGTCAAAGACTCAAAAACAGGCGGAAAAATGGCTTTTTTGCGGTCACTCTTTGAAGCTGGAAAAACAATATTGCGGAAAATGACAGATAATAGTATGTAGTTTAATCGTGAGCAAGATGGTTTCTGTGCGATGCATAGTTTTTGCCCAATTGCATTATAAACAAATTAGGGTCTTTTTTGCACAGCGTGGCGATTTATCCAAAATGGTCCGATTTAAATTCTGAAAATGGCATCTGAAAGTAGACGACAAAATCTCCAATTTGTATATCTCGGATTTTCACCTGGGTGATGGGAAATATGCTAAAAATACCCTTGAAAGTCGCCCGAAACAATAGAAAGTATGCTCGAGCCAGATTCCTCCGCTCGCTGCTTCCCCCAATACCGCTACCTGACTTTGGCTCGTTGTTTATAATGCAATTGTGCAAAAACTATATATCGGACAGATAAACCATCTTGTGCACGATTAAACTATATATTATTATCTCTCATTTTTCGCAAGATTGTTTTTCAAGCTTCAAATTTGACGGAGTTGTGAATTTTTGGAAAAAGGTTTATTTTAGAGGTTTTTCTCTGGAAAAAATTAACCGATCGGGTCGAATTTGCTGTAATATTTAAGTGTAAAAACACTAAAAACAGCCTCTTTTTTCGCTCTATTGGTTGACCTACGATATAAAATTTTCAAAGTTCGCTTTTCAGTTAAATCATCACTACATCTCATAATAAATCCTAACATTTTAAGTAATTCTGTAAAGTTTGAGATGTGTTGATTGAAACCAAAGCTGGCGTATAAGATTATTAATTCCCAGATCTCCCACTTCTTCAACTGATTTAAGAGTTAAAGTACCTACAGAATATGTACTATTTATCTTCTTCCTTGATCTGATGAAAGATACTGAAAGGCATTTTTCTATATTAAGAGACATCCCCTTATTTGTGCACCAATCCACAAGATTAATAAGATCAGACTGCATACTGTGGCAATCAAAACAAAACCTATTGTGGAGAAGACTTAAATCATCAGCAAATAGAAAGAAATTGACAATGCTGAAACAATAACTTGTCATTAATAAATATGTTAAAATGAAATGGGCCCGGATCAGAACCTCGTGGAACTCGTGAAGGTACTAATATTATTATGTTTCTGATAATGAATTTGTTGACATTAATTCACGGAAAGTGTTGTCAGAGTGCCTATGCTGTATCTTAACTTTATGCGGAACATTTACACTCCTTCACGATCATTTGTGCAAAAGGGTAGACACACCGGTAGTTTGGTGGAACATGGTAGAAAGCATAGACCAAGAGTACTTGTAATGGGAAGAACAACTTATAAATCTTAATGAAGATCCAACCGGTAATTGAGAAATTTGAAGATCCAAGTTTTCTGGAGGATGTTCCTCTCCACATCATGCAGAATACGTGGTTGTTATAGTTTTAGATGTGAAGTGTAAGAATTATTAGGCATTACTTTTTGTAATAAGTGGGTAGGCCATGAAAAATCAGTTACATGGCCAACTAGATCGCCAGCCTTTGTGATTTTTTTTGTGCCAGTCAACACGAGGAACAACTTATTTCTCGTCTAGAACAAGGTGATGATAGTATTAGGGTAAGACCGTCATTTTAACCCGATTCTTTAAATTCAAGGCAGAATCGAAATAAAAGTTTTTTAAAAATATTTGAGATAAACGTTTATCTCACTATAAAAAGTATGACACTTTAGGAATCACACCTTCCTGGAAATCTAACTTACTATTTGAGTTTCCTGATTATCTTTAGTAATATCAGCGTTTTCATGCAAACCAAAGACTTCCGGCATGGGGATAATCGGTAGAGATCGGATATAAGAAACGCAGCCATCATAGGTGGTGTCGGATGGTACATAGTATATCCCACTCGCCGAAAAAGAATAGCTGCAAGTAAGGATTTGAGACTTTGCTACGAATTAAGTTTTTCTAATTACTTTGGCACTGTGACAGTCTCAGGAGTGTAGAATATCGAAAGCAGCGAGTTTAACAATCGCCTGTCTTTGTCGTCAGTCACCCTACCACCGTAATTGCATTCTCCCGTCAAGTACGTCAAGGCTTGGTAAGGTACGTCCACATAATCAGTTAAAAACATCTAAAAAATGCGAAAACTGGAATATCTTTATAGTTATTATCTATAATCGATTACTTGTAGCTGTAAAACGCATATCCTAAGATCGGACTCGTTGAACTCGTACGGAATATTCCAGCCCAAAGGCCCGAACTTCCTCCTCTCCTGCACCAGGGCGTGGAAGAAGCAGAGACCGAACAACAGCGTTCGGAAGGCCTTCCGATTGGGACAGGCGTCATAGAATGAAGGATCAGAAATTGGATCTGACATGTACGACCTCAGCAAGTTCTGTCTCAAGCCTTTGGGCGCTTCGTTAGTCATTTTCACCCCTAAAATCGCATTAGTTAATAAAACAACGTCTTTCGTTATTATATAAAGCACCGTTTTGTAATATAGCCACAGGGAACGCTTTACTGGGGTAGCTTGTCAGCCACAAGCGGAAATGCGTGTTGGTGTTTTCTGGTACGATAACTTCATCGCAAATCCTATCCAGTTCTCTCATCCAACTTTCCGCCAAGTGACAGTTTTGTAGAACGGCCCACTGGCCATTTTCCAGACCCGTGTTGATCATTTGGGCAGCGATAGGTCCCTAAGATATTATCAGAGGCACATACAGGGTGGCCAAATGAAAACGGAACAGAGACATTTTCAGGAACTGCGTCAATATTGTAGAAAAACGCTCCGACCCGTCGATTTTAGATTAAAGGAGGACATTATTTACTGATATTTTTGACTCCGCCACTTTCACCCTCAAGCAAGGGTAAGCATCACCCCAAAATATTTAAATGGCATTGGGGGTTGAGTAATATTTTTTTTTGAAAGCTACAATTCTCTTTACAACAGACTTTAAATTTTATAATTCCGTCCAATACTTATTAAGAATTTTGATTTTAAAGTTGAAACTTATATAAAACCAATTAGTAACGGTAAAAACGTCATTCGAGTTAAGTACGCCAATGGTATAAATTTAGTATTTCTTGTGTTGTAGTATAACAAGCCCAGGTTCGATAAAAAAATAAACGTAGTTGTGGCCAAAAATATGTGATCGTCATAAGGAATACCTACGTTGTGTGTATGTATTTTTTTTTATTGACCGAAAGGCGCTGGCTACTAACTTTCTTTGAGGGGATGTATGGTTTAATTTTATAAAACAAAGATAGAGTAAATACACCTAGCTTTATTATTTATGTACAACAATCTTCAAATTAAACAAGTGACAATAGAAAGAACAACAAAAACATTAACAACCATTTAACATAAAATGAGAGTGCCAGGCTCACCTAGAGCTCCTGTGGGGAAAGAGCATGGCAGAGAAACCCACGATCGTTGCTCTTACCACCCAAATATAAATACAAAACAACCGCTAACCAAAGGTATAAATTAAGATCCTTTGCTTATTTAAATAAGACCTGTCTCATTTAATGTGTCACTAAATGTCATCTGTTACCTCATATTAGTCATACACACTTCCAAGTAACTGAAGAGGTTTGGTGTTAGTTAGCCGGCAGGGCCGGAAGGTACTGGAGTCCCATACGGGAGGCAATCCAGCTATAGTTGAGATTTCAGAGGAACAACAACAATAATAATAATAATAGGTAAGGTACTGGAGTCAATCCAGCTATGAGTTGAGATTTCGGAAGATCCTTCATAACACTGGAGTCCCATACGGGAGGCAATCGAGCTTAATCCAGATTCGTTCCGCACGGGCGAAAATGTTAGTAAATTCAACAAGGCTCGTATAGACGTATAACATAAAGTGAGCACAAGAAATCAAAGAACAACCTAATCATGATAAAACAAGTTAAATGTGAAACAAAGAGGTCGTTAATGCAATATCTGGGCAGTCACGACAATATACATATTTTAACAAGTAATAAATAATGAGCAATCTTTAATAATAATTACAACAATTTTATCTTAGAGAAAGCGTAAGACAATGAAGGCTAAACATATACAGAATTATTATCATGAAACATCTATATTTTACGAACAACGTAATCATGACAAAAACAAGTTAGATGTGAAACAAAGAAATCGTTATGGTAATGTCTGGCAATCACGACAATATATATACATATATATCTTTTAACATGAAATAAATAATGAGCAATCGTTAATAATAAGTATAACTATTTTACCTTAGAAAATGCTCTTGAGCATAAAGCAATGGAAGCTAAACATACAAAGAATTATTATTATGAAACATCTATAACCATCACAATCATAAGATTACATAGAACAATTAACAACAAAGTACTTAGGGAATATTACCTGCTAACTAATACCGGTTAAACACTTAATTTTACACTACTTTGTCACACTGCCCGCCGATCGTCTTACTACCTATCTGCACACTGTTCTCACTTCAACTGCCTATCTTCGACTCTTTAGGCTTCCTTCCAGAATTCCCTACCTAAGCGCTTGTTTTTTGTGCTTCCTTCTACCGACCGTTAATATTACTTTTTCATTATTATACAACACTCATGTAACAGGTGACGTCGAAGTTGATAAGATAAGTATGGTTTTGCACAACGTTACATTGGTTTTTGGCGATTTGTTATCAAAATTAGTGGATTCCAAATTATTTTCTAGTATTATTTGAAAGCGTTGGTTGGTAGTTTAATTAATTGTGTTTTTGAAAATTAAACACTATGGTTTATTTTATTGCGGAAAGGGTAGATATCATTTCGCTTTACTTTATGAACAATAAACATGCGAATAGAACAGCTCAGCTATTTAATGAACAACATCAAGATCGACATGTCAGGAGGAAGTATGTTCTAGAGTTAGTAAAAGAATTTCAAGAGACAGGGAACGTAGCCAATAAAAAATGATAAATTGCAGAACCTATAGTTAATGAAGCAGAGGCCGTGGCGATAGCGGTGAGATCGCTACGGCATGGAGACGTTGCGGTGGTGTCCTGTTACCACCCACCCAGACTACCACTACTTGACAATGACTTAGACAAAATCCTTTCCTGGCCCCAGACAATTGCCATCGGGGACTTCAACGCGAAGTCCCCCATATGGCACAGCGGGACGACGACCACAAGAGGTCGCGTCCTGCTGAATTACCAAGACAGACACGACGACTTGACTATACTCGGACCGACAGAACCGACACATTACGGACCCGTAGGACGCCCCGACGTTATCGACATTGCCCTCTTAAAATCTATACCGTTAAATGCCCAAATATCCACCCAATACGAAGGGTCTTCCGCCCACAATCCAATATTTCTGGATCTGGGGCGAAGACAGAGATATGAAGGCACCTTCACGAGGAGGTTCACTGACTGGGAGCGTTTCCGAACAGTAATGCAAGGAAACATGGCGCTCCCAGTCATCGAAACCACCCATGATCTGGAGGCGGCAATCCTCTCCCTTGAGACTGACATTAAAAACGCCCTGACTCAGACTACGACGGAGACTATTGTCCCCCGACTGACAAACCCCCGGGGCACCCTCCCCGATGACATAAAAAACTTAATACGTGACAGACGACGTGCGAAACGGC